GTAACGTTAGATTGCTGATGTCAGTCTACCCGGTGCAGAATAAATCATGTGTATTGTTTCACTTCGCGTTATGTTTCTCTTTAATAAAGTAGATTTACAGGAATTTTGCTAGTTATGGTATGGAAAAAATCCCTTGCTCATTCTATATTTGATTTCACAAATTTCCTCTAAATATATCATGTTCCTTCTAGTTTAATTTAGCTGTAACATGGCCACAAAACACAGTGTTTCTTTGAAACCCCAAGTTGAGGTTACAAGCAGCATCTACCCAAGTGCGGACTCAGACTGGCTGGCAATGGTTCCATGGGACTCTGTGTTTAAAAAGATTCTGAGGCTGGGTCCAGGCTGGGTAGGAAAAGTGGACTCAGTGATTGAATGCAGTATATTGGACTAGGCGGTGATGGTTAAGGTAGGAGCATTTGAGTAAGTTAGTTAAGTTAGGAAGGTGCATTGCTCTACTGGGTAGATAAATCTGAAAACAGCTAGTAGACATATTCACGCAGAGTGTCCTGGAGCTAAATTTGAGGTCTGTAATGTAAATGTACAATCTCAACATTTTGAAATAGTCAATATTTATGGACGAGATGTCAAAAATCACTCAATAACTAGCATCAACTTTTATCAGACAGTATAATATCAGGGTACTTTGAATAATGTATTTTATGCAGTGGATGCTTCAAAGGCTCTTAACAAGAAATCATTAGCATATGCTTACGGGGATTTGCAAAGTGAGAAAGAATGTCAAGACAGATGGGGGAGGTAGTCTTCCATGGGTGAATGATAGACTTACCAAGGGCTACACTCTTGGAGAAAACTCTCTCTCTCCCTCTCCCTGCAGCTAATATAACTGCTGACCACTCCATGACTAGGAGTAGGGTTGTGTACTCAACTCCCCACTCAATACTGGAATTTGGTCTTGCTTAGGCTTGCATGGGTCTTGGGCAAGTTATTGCAACCCCTGGGAGCTCCTATGTAGAGCTGTCCCGCTGTGTCCAGAAGATAATATTTCCTTGCAGTCATCTACCTACTCCAGCTCTTAGACTCTTTCTACTCCTTCATCTACAATGATCCCTAATCCTTGCGAGGGAGGAGAGTTTGATATGTATGTTCTTTTTAGAGCTGAGCATTCTGCAGGCTTCATTCTCTGCGCCCTGGCCAGCTGTGGGCCACTCTATTCACCACCACCCACTACCTTTTTGAGGTAAAGTCTTGCTGGTCCCAAGCTTGTCATCCTCCTGCCTGATCCTGTACGTGCCAGGAATTAAGAGGTGTGCATCACCACACCCAATTCAACACAGGCTTTTTAACAGTTCCAACCAAAAAGTACAGATATCTCCCATTGTTTGGGGCTATAAACCTGCTATTACACAAGTTCACTGACGTTTGAGTTCTTAGATTCATCTCTTCCCTCCCGATCATGCTATAGGAACCTGTGATGCACTTTCTGCGACAGACAGAAGGTGCCCAGCTCACTTGGGTAGAACACTAGAGCTGGCTCTGGTGGTGTGAGTGCAGGTGAGCTGGATCTGAGGACCAAACGGCAGGAGAACTGGCCCCTATCCCCTTGCTGCAGGCCGCGTTGGGTGAGCTAGCCAAACAGTGCTGGAGAGCTCACCAGGGTAATGAGGATGCAGGAACGCTGACAGGCTGACCAACCTAGCTACCACCCCAGACCCCGAACCAGAGCTTAGCATTAGCTCACCTGCAACATCCACCTCATCAGTGAACTGTTGGGGCAAGAGAAGGAGGTGAACCTACAGATCCAAAACTGCAGGATCTCCACGACACAGGACAGTAGGATGTCCAAGAGGAGACCCACAGAGAGCCCATTATCGATAGTGTAGCAGAAGCCAAAGGCCTCAAACCAGACCAAGGACTCATAGCAATGAACACTTTCCAGTAAAGATGAATGGACTAACGGGTAAACTGTGTGACCCAACAGGCCACACTACAGCTTCCATGATGAGATTCTTCTCCTTTTTGTTTTGTTTTGGTTGGTGGGTTTTTTTTTTCTTAATTTTGTTTTGTTTTGGTGGGGATGTTGTAAGGACGGAGGATGGAAGTGAGAGGACAGGGAGATAAGTAGGTTTGTGATGCATAAAGTGAAATCCACAAAGAATCAATAAAAGCTAAAAGAATTTTTTTAAAGTAAATGTCTTGAATCCCTAACAGGTGCTCTAATGTTACCATCACTCAGAAACAGCTTCTTACTAAACTTAGTAGTACCTGGTGATAAGAGCATGGCTAGCCGGATAATAGTTTTGTGTCTTTATAGAATGTAATTACGGTAGCAAAAATTAAAACTATCATCAAAAGATAGAGCTTAATATTGGTGGTAATGGTCTTGAATATTGAAAAGCATTTGACTAAATATTAAAAAAAAAAGAAAGAAAGAAGTGCCTAGAGTATGAGCCCCATTTCTTGGGAGGGGACGTGACCCACCAGATGACTCCAGATGCGAGTTTGAAAACTTCAGCTTCAAGTCTCGAGCTTTCTCTTCTGGGTTGTGGGAAGGAAGGAAGGAGCTGAGGCAGAAGAAACTGGGAAACGCCCAGGGGAGGTAGCCTCTGCACTAGCAACTTTGGGATTATCATGGAAGCCGGCTCATGCCCCATTTCCACCTCTTCCCTTCTGCAGGAACACTCTCCACGCCTCTGGCCCCTTATTTATCTTAGTTGTGGTTTCTACGGGTGTCATAAAGACCAGGATCAAAAGCAGCTGGGGGTGGGGGGCTGAAAAGACTGATTTCAGTTTTCCACTTTCGGATCAGATCCATCACTGTGGGAAGTCGGGGCAGGAACAAAAGATAGGTATCTGGAAGCAGGGACTGGAGAAGAGGCCATGTTTACTGGCTTGCTCCTCCTAGCGTGTTTGGTTTGTTCTCTTACAAACCCTAGGACAACCTTCCAAGGAATGGTGTTGCCCAAAGTGGGCTAGGCCCACCCACATCACCAGCCATTCAAGAAAACGTCTCCACAGGATGGGAGACTATCTGATAGGGGCATTTCTTCATTGGAGGTTCCCTCTTCTCAGATGGCTCTATCTTGTCTCAAGGTGGCAAAAAATCTAACCAGCACACTATCCCATCCACGCTCCACTTAGCTACCTGCCAACTCAGATGCCCCCTGAACAGAGGAAAACAGGAAAACGGGGTGGCACTTACACATTCCCCACGGTCACAGTGATCCAAGTCTTCACTAGCAAACCTGTTGGTATCAAGAGCCCAACTTCATCACTGGGAGCCAGTAGGCACCACATCTTGTGAATGGCGAATGGGTATCATGTGCTTAGGGCAATGCCTGGTACCTGAAGGCTAGCTATACCCAGACCACTTGGTGGTGACAATAGCTCTAGGCATCAGACTTACCACACTGGGTGGGGCTGAGATGTTTGACGGCCCCATGAAGATTGCCTGCTGGAGATAAGCTTGATCTTTGGATCCTCCAGCTAGCAAGATGGCATTCTGTGTCCTACATAGAGGCTGATCGTTTGCTGGGTTGCTTCCGGCCTGCCCGAACTGGCCACTGATGATCCTAGCTGGGGTGGTTATTTGGGGCAATATGTATGGAAGATGGGCCAAGGATGGTTATTTGGGGCAATATGTATAAAGGATGGGCCAAATGAAAACATACATGTATTTCAGAGCTTTCTGGTTAGGTACCAAACTACCAGGGGTGGAGTGAGCAGTCACATGGTAGAAGACACTAGGTAAAAATGGACACAAATGTGGGAGTTTCCAGGCATTTGCAGTCTTCAGCTTGCACTTCCAAAGACCAGTAATCAAGTGAATCACTCTGCTAGGGGGTCCAGGTGGCCAGAGCAGTGTGGCAGGCTTACATTGGTGTCCTTGGTTTCACTCCTTCCCCAGCCCTCCATATCCTAGCCCAGCCCGCAGAATACCACTCACTCGTATTAGCAGGACAGAGGCAGAAAGAGAAGAGGGTGGCAGGAAAACAGAGAAAAGAAGATAGGGAAAGGAGTGAAATGGGAGGAGAGAGAGAGAGAGAGAGAGAGAGAGAGAGAGAGAGAGACAGAGACAGAGAGAGACAGAGACAGAGAGAGACAGAGACAGAGAGAGACAGAGACAGAGACAGAGACAGAGAGACAGAGAGAAAACAAGGAACCAAGAAGGAGGAAGAGATGAAAGAGGAAGACAGAATGGGCGTGACCCTGCTGTGTCCACGACTCTCCAAGCCCTATGCAATGTGTTCTACATACACTTTCCATTTAGTTGTATTTGGATAGGAAAGAGTCTAGGCAAAGGAAATCTGAGTCTTAATTTAAAAGAAAAAAAGCTTGCACTTCATCTGGATAGGGCCCAAGAGTCAGACTGAGTAACTAAATCAATTTAGTCTATTCTAATGATACAAGCTAAATGCAAATGAACTCATTTGTTCTGGGGAGAACTGTGTAAGGAGATGGTTGCATGACCCAAGTCATTGCATTCTGAGGCTTTTGGGTCCAGCCTGCTCATATTGCTCCCTAGATTCAATGTCCTGAGCCTGCACCCTCACCCATGAGAGAGCCAGGGTGCCTTGTGCCATGTGCTAAGGGGACCTGGTGTAGGCTGAGGAAAAGCACCAGACGCTTGGCCTCAGTGTTGGAGTTCAGAGGAGTTGAAGGGATAGAAAACTGGACAGGGCACTCCACTCTCTTGCGAGGACCACTGCTCAACTCCAGTGTGTTGTCATGTGGAGAAGTGGCTGTGGTGTGGCCAAACCATGTAAGGGTGTCCAGCTTTCGACATTGTCATATAATCTCCTTTACAAGCGTTTGGGGATGCGTTAACAGTTATCCTGGGTTGCATGTGGCCCACACAGTGCAGGGGAGACAAGCCCATTTCACAGATCAGAGACCCGTGTTCGGACAATTCTGTTGGGTTGAGACAATGCAATTGCAGGGTCTGTCTTCCCACGGGTTTAATGGATGGAATGGTTCCGTTTCTTCCTTCTTTTACAAACAGAAGACTAATTCCTTGTCTACGCTCCTCTCTCTTTCAGGCCATTATGTTTATGTGGACACCTCTTTTGCAAAGCAAGGGGAGAAAGCCGTGCTGCTGAGCTCAGACTTGCAGGCGGAGGAATGGAACTGCCTTCGCCTGGTCTACCAGATAACCGCACCTCTGGGCCCCGTGTCAGAACCCAGTCAGCTGAACCTCTACATGAGATTTGAGGATGAAAGCTTTGATCGCTTGCTTTGGTCCACTAAGGAGCCATCCGACAGCTGGCTCATAGCCAGTCTGGATCTTCCAAACAGCTCCAAGAAATTCAAGGTAGGGGGGGCTGAGGAGGAAGATATGAGACTTACTTTATGTTCCATGAGGTCTTATGACAGTGGTTCTCAACTTTCTGAATTCTGAGACCCTTTAATACAGTTCCTCATGTTCCCAACCATAAATTTTTTTTGTTACTACTTCCTAACTAATTTGGCTATTGTTATGGATCCTAACATAAATATCTGATATGCAGGATATTTGATATGAGACCCTGTGAAATGGTTGTTTGACTCCCAAAGGGGTTGCGACCCACAGGTTAAGAACCATGTCTTATAATAAGTAAGTCAGTAAGGTTTGTTGTAGTGTAGAAAATTAATATAAATTAATATTTTTTTCCTTAAAAGAGCATCTTCATGAACTTTCCCATCTATTTAAAACCTAAGATGGTTTTAGATGGTGCTTAACTTGACCTCCTCAGTGAAAACTGGCTTTCTGGAGTATTTTTGTTGCCAACAATTCTGCGTCATCCTTCTAAATTGTTTGTGGAATGTGTTGTGTTAGCTTCCTCATGGGTTAGTTGCTCCAAACTTTGAGCAAGACATTATCATAAAATGAGACATTAAAATACTTTGAAAAAGGAAAGTTATTTACCAGTCCTGTTTCCTTTCCCTTTCGGAGAGGCTAATTGTTCTGTCAGCTCTGAGAGGAAGGCAGAAGACATAATGGGTGGGTTGTGGAGTGGAGCAGGGAATGGAGCTGGAGGGTGCCACATATGACAGGACAGCGTGTGTCCCTGAGGACACAACAGAGCCACCAGGAGAACCCCAGTCCTAATGCGCTCCATCCCTAGGCTCAACCTTCTCCTGTGAAAGGCTTTAAACCAGAGCATCTCGGGCTAGCCCAGACTATTGGGAGTCTCTCTCCATCAGGTGGCCACTGAGGGAGGGAACATTGAGTCTGAGTTCCTATTTCACACCACCCTCCAATGGTTATCAGACTCCAAATCTACCCACATAGTTGCAAAATACTCTGCCAAAACCACAGGAGAAAAAGCTGTTTGAGAAATGGGACCAGAGGTGAACTCTAACATTCCTTGAAATCAACCACATGAATTGTCACGCTTTTGTCTGTTCTTTGTGTAAAATTCTCAATTTCTCGTCAAAGTAGAAATTATGGATTAACTTTTGAACCTTCCCATCTCATGTGGAGATTTCTGACAGATTGGGGCTCCCTGCCTTCTCATCCATAGATTCCTCCAACACCACCATCCCACTTTTTGCCCCTGTGTCATCTGCCCTCAGTTCTGTTCAGCACATCTCCAGGATCCACCAATGACGGCCTCCATGAACACAGGAGGATGTGGACGTTAAGATAGCATTGGAAGACATTGGACTCCCTGCATCTGTTGGACACTTTGTCCATGTCAAAGTCCTCAGTGTACATGTATGTGTTCATGTATGCACAGGAAGGAATGCAATAGTAAGAACCACATTCAACAGCCATGAATCACACTGAATGACAGCTTCTGACTAAGAACTGAAATATTAGACAGGAAACATGGTGTTCTGTTGCCTGATCCCCCTTCTCACCCATATGTTGTACAGATTTTGATAGAAGGTGTCCTGGGACAAGGAAACACAGCCAGCATTGCCCTCTTTGAAATCAAGATGACAGCCGGCTACTGTATCGGTGAGTGAGCTTCATGATCACGGCAGCGGAATGCAAATCTCTCCCTACAATCCGCTGCCAGAAAACACTAAATCGATCTTAAAGGCCAAGTGTGTCATAGAGCATGCTGCAAAATGCCTAGTAGCTTCTGTTCTTTGCAAGAGTCACCTGCAGATGGCACATTGATCCTCGGTCTTCAGTGGAAAGGCTCATTAGCATTTGTTCTAACAGTCACTTTTACCGCCCTGCGATGCTCTCTAACCTCCCCTAGTTCTAATAAAAGCAATGGCTGGCTTGCTGTGAACTCTATTTCTGATGGCCTTTACCAGAAGAGCGGACATCCATCACATCACCTACTTTCCTGACACACTGCTACTGCTGTCTTAATCATCAGAACTGTCACTTGGATCCTACTTGGTGTGGGCAGGATTGATTGCCTGTGTGTGGCAGCTTTGAGAAGGCAGGAAAAGAGGAAGTTCCTGTCCCATAGGTGCTTGACAATTCCTCGTCTGCCACCGACCATAACCACCCAGTAAGCACTGCACGGAGAGGCTGGCGTCTGTGGAGGTACACATAGAAGGTTGTCTGGGGGTAGGGGGGATCTGGCAGGAGAAAGGATCTGAGCATACAGATACAAAGGCCAGAGTCAAGCAGTTGGTACCCATCATGGAGTTTCTTCCAGAGACTGGTCTCAGGACTGGGAGCCTGGGTTTACCTAATTATGAGGTTGGTAAGTGTTAGAGTTAGCTTGCAAGGGACAGGCATCCAGCTGTGGCTTTCCAATGATGTCACTGGTCTCCATGAGCTGGAGACAAGGAAAATACAGATGCATAGGAGCTAGTAAACTCCTAGAAGAGACTCTGACTTTACAGGGGGTACAGGAAGAGGACCTTAAACCAGGGGTGTGGTAAAAAGTGGGGGAGTAGCCTTGCAAAAGAAAAAAGTCGATAGGTCCGCTAGATGCCTCAGCATTATCTGTGTTTAGACTGAGGACTCGGTCAAAAGGGAGCGGACAGTCAAAGATGATCCTGTACAAGGAGCCTAGGCTGATGCTCTGTGGTATGGCTTCTCTGTTTTGGTCTCTAAATGAAACCTCTAAGGCAGAGCTTCCATCCAGGCTTCTTCTCCCTTGAGTAGTCTAGATGCTGCCCCTCCACACACTGAAGCAGTCAGACACAACTGGGGAGCATCACCTGCTGGCTTAGTCTCTCACTGCACCTCCCAACCCCCGCCAGCCCGGCTGTAGTCATCCACTGCAAAATGGAGTTGGTTCCTGTGAGGTCTAAGAAGAGGTGGATTTAAAGGTGGGCACTCAAGAAGTGTTCATTTCTTTCCCCCAGATGACTTGGTGGCTTCTGATTTATTTGAAACAAAAAGGACTCCACAGAAGTGCATCTTGCCATGCTGTCGTCTCTCCTTGCTCTGTGCCCACTTCTTCTCTTGGCTCCTTGTCTGTGCAATTGGGTTAATAATAGTACCTTTCTCGAGGAGCTAAGTTGAGGATTAAGTGAATTCATAGCAAAAGCTTAGACGAGTGCCTGGCATGCTGAGAAGGATTTTGCTTTTTATTACACTCTGTGGCAGCCCTTGGCGCTAGATGTTGAGCATCAGTTGGCAGAGACTGTAGTGGAAATTTGAAAAGAAATCTTGAGATTTGTCAGTGCTTGCTGACAACTGTACCAGCTAGGATCCTGGCGGGAAGGTGGGAGCTAGAAGGTGGGGGTGGGTTGTGGGGTGGAGGAGTGGGACGAGGTTCAACCTTGCCTCTAAATTTGAAGAAAGCCCATCAACATCAGGGAGACTACAAAGCTGTGCAGGGTAAAGTCACCTGCAGGCGCTGCCACTGTGACCAGAATCAGGACCAGCCATGGCTCATAAGCTGTTACCTCGCTTGCCAATTGGACAAGAGAGGAGGAATTACTAGCACCTTGAAACAGTGGCCGTGGAGTCAAAACTGCTTCTGGCTAGGCTGTTCACTCTGTAAAGGGGCCTAGCTCACCATGGCAACCTGGCAGTGATGGAGCTGACCACTAGCACTGATGTCTCCTTCCTTCCCCTCCCTTAGACGGGACCCAATGAGGAAGTGGATGGAGCAATAGAGAAGAGCAGGATGGCCATCAGCATCTTTTCATTGCAAGATTATGGTGTCCGTGACTGGATTAGGTTTATAAATTCCCTGTTCCCACTAAAAGAATTTGTTAATGGGGAACAATTTATAGCAAACATGTCAATGTCCTCAAAGGTTTTACTTATGTATTTCTCATCTCTAGGCAGGAGTTGCAGGAGGGCCCTGGGCCAGGTGTGTGCCTGTCCTATCTATTCTGACTAGATTCTAATTCATCAGGAAAGTGGGGAAATTTTAGCATCTTGGAAACATGAGTTCTGGGAATCTTGCTCACCATAAAGAGATGAAGGACTGGGCCAGCAGGTAATAGAAGGAGAGGTGCAGAAAATGCCTAGAGCTGAGGGAATAGCCCTAAAGTAGTACATAGTACATTAAAATAGACATAGTGGAGTTGGGAACATAGGTCAGTAGTAAAGTGTGTGCTTAACATGTGCTAGACCCTGGGTTTAGTCCCTGGAACCAAAACATTGACTAATTAATTTAATAGATGACAAAAAATTATCAACTTATATCATGCACGGGTGCTCTGGTTCTGTACCAAGAACTGCCCATCTCTACAGTCTGATAAGGTGGGCCTGTTGTTTCCAATTCACACATCAGGAAACAGACTCAGTCTTGCAAGTGGCTGCTTGGTCATTCCCAACTGCTTAGCCCCAAAATAACCACTCAGAAACTGTATTCATTAAATCACTGCTTGGCCCATTAGCTCTAACTTCTTATTGGCTAACTCTTACATCTTAATTTAACCCATTTCTATTAATCTGTATATCGCCACATGGCAGTGGCTTACCAGATAAAATTCTAACCAGAGTCTGTCTCAGGCAGAGGATCCATGGCTTCTCTGACTCTGCCCTTCTTTCTCCCAGCATTCAGCTTCATCTTCCTCACCTACCTAAGCTCTGTCCTATCAACAGGCCAAGGCAGTTTTTTTATTCATTAGTGCTAATCACAGCACACAGAGGAGAAACCCACATCAACTCAGAGAGATGGTGAGTCCCACAGCAAGACACGTGGCTAATAGGAGAAAGAACTATGGCTCAGAGGGGCAATGACGAAGCAACACATTGATTCATTACTGGATCTCTCTTCTTGAACACCATTGTTCAGAATTTCTGGTCCATGGGTCCCCATGGTTGAGGAAAAGGGCCCTCAGAATGACAAAGGGCAAATTCTGCAGAAAGTGTGTATAGTGGGAGGCTGCTTGTTTGTTTCCTAGTCACCCAGAACTGAAATAATAACAACACAGAAACTGTATTAATTAAAACACTGTTCTGCCTGTTAGCTTAGGCTTTTTGTTAACTAACTCTTACATCTTAAATGAACCCATTTCTATTATTTTATATTTTACCATGAGGCTCGTGGTTTATCGGCAAGGTTCTAGCGCATCTGTCTGCTTTGGCAGCTACATGGCGTCTCCCTGACTCCGCTTTTTTTTTTCTCTCTTTTATCTCTGCTTGGAATTCCCACCTTGCTCTATTCTGCACTGCAATAGGAGCAAAGCAGATTCTTTATTAACCAATGGCAATAAAACATATTCACAGCATACAAAAGGGAATCCCACATCAAGTATGGGTGTCCCCAGGTGTGGCTGCAGGTCCATGACATGTGTATCTATGCTTCTTCCTCCAGAATGTGACTTTGAAGAAAACCATCTCTGTGGCTTTGTGAACCGCTGGAATCCCAATGTGAACTGGTTTGTTGGAGGAGGAACTGTGAAGAACACCCATTCCGTCCTCCCACAGGATCACACATTCAGGAGCGAGCAGGGTGAGCAGGTCACAAATGCAGTCTTCTTCCCAGGATAAACCCTGCCTTCAGCTCCCACCTCCTGGCTTCTGTCAATAGAAGAAAGGGTGGGGAATCACATTGGGAGACCTAGTGGAAGAGGAAGGAAGGACAACCTGTGAGACAGGGAGAACTACAGACATAAGCTTTAGCTAAGGAAGTCATAAAAGGAGAGGTTTTAGCTCGTCTATAACTTTGTCCATGGATTGTTTCACTTCTTATCTATTGGCTGTATTCTTATTTCTAAAGACAAGGCTGGAAAAAAAATCCGATCTTCATTAAAAATAGATTGCAGGTTGGCAAGTCCTTAAGAATTTCCCAGGAGACCGTCAATGCTAATGATTATTCTGCTGAAGCGTGCAACAGGGCCCCCTGGTGGTCAAGTACACGGGCACTCTGCAAGTAAAACGCAGAGGTGAGGCTCTCAGAGAGGGAGAAGGAGAAAACCTCTGGAAGGGAAACTAGGGCAAGGTTTCTCCTCACCTGCAAAACATCCCAGTCCTCGACTCTATGGCCTTTTCTAAATATTGAGAAGATTCTTACTTTCCCTCCCCCGCTTTTCTTTTTCACTATTGACACATCCTAGTCAATTTCATATGATGACAGACTGCATGGACCCTTGCCAGGATACATAACTGTGGTCCCCTATTGTCTCTCACTGACTGCAGTTTCTTGACATCTAAATGTTTAAAAGCATGTCTTCGACTTTGCTCCCAGCGCGTCTGTCCTGCAAGCCACCTGGAATCTAACGTCTACACCTTGACGTCCATTGCTGTTCTCTTTGTTCACGCGCCCCCTCTTCCTCTGTACTGAGTCTCAGACTCAGTTTCCCACAAGGGCCAAGCAGAGAGATTAAGCGAGTAGTATGTGGCTAACTAAAAAGCTGAGACATACAGAGTAGATTGATTGTGTTGTAGCAGAATGTGAGCCCACGTCATAAGATCTTTTGATTTTTTTTTTCTTAAAATAATCAGGAAGAGGGGGATAGGTTTTTAAATTTCTCAAATATGTAAAAATTAGTGTGTATTTTCTAAACCAAAATAAAGAAAGCTACTATATGAGCTGATGAAAGGTTAATTAGCCCCTGCTTTTCAGCCTCTATTTTACAGTCTTTTTTTTTTTTTTTCCTTTTCAACATGTCCAGGCTACTTAGAACAAAATACTTCTCAGTAGACAGCTATGCACATAGGGCTTGTATGCTTGAGATAAACCCAACTTGCATTTAGCATTTTCATTCATCTGGTCTTGAATTGGGTACAATGAAGAAAATGGCAATGAAAACGACAAGCCACCAGGCTGCTTCTAAACTTCAAGGGATACTTGTCAAGAAAAAGAACCTTTCTCGCAGAAATGGACATCAAACAAGATCATATCTGCTGCATGTTGTCAGAATTATCCTCTTCCCTTACAAAAAGAAAGGCGATGAACATTTAGAGATAAAATAACACTGATAAGTATTCAGAATTAAAAGCAAAGTGGTAGATAGTTGGAGATAAAGCAACGCTTGTAAGTCATGCAAGTGAAGTAAACGGATTTGAAGGGGAGGTGTGGCTTTAGTGAGAGAGAAGAGAGGAGAGAAGCAATGATGCTGTGAATAGCTGCACCAACTGCAAGAAGTAAGGAGAGAGAGGTGGGGTGGGGTGAAAAAGCACCATGTGGGCAAATTCTAAAAGGCTTGAATGCGGGAGCAGATTTTGACTTCACTGACAGTGGGGAGCCAGCAAAGGTCTTTGAACAGAGGATGAGACAACATCACACAGTGGGTATAATAGCACCCTGAAGGTGATTGTCCTGCTAGGTGGAGGACGAGACCACAGAATAAGAGAATAAATTAATACTCCAGCAGCCCTTTAGATAGAATTCGAGTTAGTCACATGAGGGACTATGACACGGAAAACATTTTCACTTCCTAATTTTAAAAGAAAGGCTTAGCACTTTTGGTAATATCGGAAATTTGGAATTCTATGCCTAACCCAAACTTCAGCCCTAAAGACACACAATCCACTGTGGTCACAGAATCCATAGAAATGAGGGTTCTATGCAGCGTGAACGATGGCCAGCAGTAACAACGATGCCCATGAATCTGCCTGAGTATTGTAAAAGACGGGTTAACTTGAAACAGTAAGATGCCAGCACCTCTCAAAACCTTTGCTTAAATGAATAAAGCTGCTAACAATCTCTTGGGGTTTCATAAGAGAAAATCCAGGCGACTTTCTCATTACATATGTTGCCAGGCTAGGTTGGTGATGGCTCTTCTGTTAAATCTTATAAATCAAGTATAGAAATTGATAGAAAGTTGAAGCTATAATCACCGTGGGTCTCTATTTCACAGCTACACAGAGGTAGCCACTCAGAAAATTAGCTCCAAGATGGTGAGCATCATGATCTTCTGATGACATATTCACAGTGCCACTAACATACCCATTCATGGTAAGAGCCAGCTGGCCAGCAGGAACGGGGATTTCTCAGGAGGAGTCAAACCAACCTCTGGACAAGTGTCAAACTGTTCCTATGTCTGTATTTCCCGAATGCGGACTCTCCTTAAAAGAGTGTGATCTACAAGGCTTCCTTCGTGGCCACAGACCATGTTGGCCATATTGGATCAGTGAGGGACAGAGAATGAGCTAGTCCAGGAGGCCCCAGCTTGTATTTAGTTCTCAGAGCACTGGGTTCCCTTGAGTAACCCCTCAGCTTCCCAGAGTCACCATTAACCTATTTGCAGGTGAGGTGAGGAATTTGCTTCCAGTGACCTTCAAGATGCTTTTGCATTGAATATTTTACTTTTCTCTCTTTGCCTGGTGCTACACATTAAAATCCCTGTTTTCAGCACTCATTGGGATCAGAGCTGTGTGGGAGCCTTCTGAATACATATAAGTGCATTGTATTTGACACCAGAAAAAAAAGGAAGGGAGGGTAAAAAGGACTGCAATACGGTCATCCTTGAAGGCCTGGCCTCTATGTTCTGCTGATGCTGAAGTCATCTCTGCTACTGCACTTGCCTCTGTCCTCTGTTCCCTCTGCCCGTCCCATTTCCTCCTTTCCATTTTCCAAGCCTGTCCACTTTCCTTGGACTATTTCCCAAAGGCAAGCAGCTCTGCCCACTAGCATTGTTGGGTACCCCTCATATCAAGCATCAGACACTATGGCTGAAAGGGAAAAGTCTAGAGAAAGCTTACACCTCCCTTTCAGCAAACCACCAGCTGACCTGCAGGAGGAGACTTTTTCATTGGTCTCTCAAGTCACATAGTCACTCACCTGCTCGTTATATATATGTCATAGGCGACGCACACATGTGCATCTATATCAGGCATTCTTGCATGCTTTGGTGATGTGAAAAGTCACGAACTTTGAAGAGATCTTGTCTAAAAATGTTCTTTCCCAGAACAGTAGTTGGGGACATGTTGTCTTAGCTTCTTTCCTGTTGATGTGAAATACTCTGACAGAGTAACTTGAGAGACAAGGGGTTTATTTGGCCCCTAAGTCATCATCATTAATCCATTATCATAGGGGAAGTCACAGTGGCAGGAGCTTGAGGTGGTCAGTCTCAGCGTATCCACAGCAAAGAAGTAGAGAACGATGGGTCAATGTGACCTGCAGTGGGAGGGTCTTCCCACTGTAATTAAAATTATAAGATAAAGTCCCCCCCCACAGACCCACCCGAAGGCCCTTCTTCAAGATGATTCCAACATCTGTCAAGCTAACAGTTAACACCTGCGGTTTCAATTCCATTCCTCATCAACTTGATACCCAAACATCATTTTTAAGCCATAATCTTTCATCTTTTATCAGTGTAGGCTCAAGACTACATTATGCTATAACATGCGTTCCATCCAACTTTAAACAACCCTATACCTCTCAACAGTTCCAACACTGTCAAAACTGTCTATCTATGAGGCGCTATAAAAATTGAAAAAAGTTACATACTTCTAATATATAATGACACAGAGAAAACATTCCCATTCCAAAAGGGAAAACAAGGCATAACAAGAAATAATCAAATTAAAACAAGCCCAAAATCCATTAGGATGGCTCCACTCCTCCAACTCTGCCACTGTAGCGGGTATAAACTCTCTCGTAGGTGGACCCCACTTCATGCATGAACTCCCAGAAAGTCATGCCTTACTCAGGATAGGGCATAAGAAGATGATTTCTGGAGATTCCAAAATATTTGTCTAAAGAGTTTGCTTGCAAGATGCAAAGACTTGCCCAGTGCGACTCTTGCAGAAAAATAAAACTACCAACACTCTAAAGAAAATAGAGATTGCCTCTCTTCCATTTGCCTTCTATTGGATATATTGATTTTCTCCACACTCTATCAATTTGGGTGGCCAAAGAAAGATTAAACGGTCCAGATGTCTGCCTGCAGCAGCAGAGTTTGCTCCCTGTGGACTCAGCTCATGTTCGTTCACATACTGGAAGCAGCTTAAGCCTTTGCTTTTGCTAAGAAGTGAAGACCCACACAGCCGAGACCCCAGTGTGGAAGGACACATCTCCAGATTCTTTGCTGTAGGAAGGAACAGTGCATACAACATCTGCATTTGCACTGTTACTGGGGTTCCTTCCCAAACAGTGAGGGAGCTCTGACTTTTCAAATGAACATCGTCCCCAACTTCCTGTTGAAAGGTAGAAACAGATTCTGCACCAAGAATTGAGGTTTCTTTGTGATATGGGAGGGGATGTGGTTTTTATATTGTTTTCTTTTCTTCCCAGTTCTGATTCACCTCACTGGGGTTTCTTCTTCGTTAATATTTCATGAAGTGAAACAAAACCATCCATGAGGTAACTTGCTGACAGCTCGGATCAGCACTGTTTCCTACGCACCTTGGCAAAAAGAAGAGAATTGCTGGGAAAATAATGAGGAGATTTCATTATTTTCTTGAGGCTTGAGGTTTTTAAAACTAAGCTGCTCAGAGTGCCACTCTGCAAGGAGCTGGACAAAGTTTCAAAACTCAAAATAAGATTAGGATTGTTTTATTACTCCA